GCTAATTTATATTTTCATTTCTCTTGGATATGTACTCAGGAATGGATCCTAGGTCACATAGCAACTCTATGTTTAACTTTTTAGTAAATGCCCAACTTTTCCACAGAGGCTGAAGAATTTTACATTCCCAAGAGCAGCAATATACAAGGGTTCTAATTTCTCTATACCCTCACCTACACTTATTATTCACCCTCCCCTTTTTAAAGCCATCCTAGTGAGGTATCTCACTGTGGTTTTGATTTACATACCCTAGTGATTAATGATGTTGAGCATCTTTTCATGTGCTTATTAACCCTCTGTTTATCTTCTTTGGAGAAATGTCTGTTTAAGTCCTCTGTTGTTTACCTGGATTGTTTGTCTCTGTCGTTGAGTTTTAGGAATTCTTTATATACTCTGGATCCTAATCCCTTATTGAATATATGACTCCCAAATATTTTCTTCCATTCTGTAGGTTGTCTTCACTTTCTGGATGTATACAAAAGTTTCAAATTTTGATGAAGTCCAATTTATGTATTTTTTCTTATGTAGCTTGTAGTTTTTGGTGTCATATCTAAGAAACCACTGCCAAATCCAAGATCATGAAGATTTATCCCAATTTTCTTCTAAAAATCTCATAGCCTTAGCTCTTACATTTAGGTCTTTGATCCATTTTGGTTAGTTTTTATATGGCGTGAAGTAAGGGTCCAGTTTCATTCTTCTGTATGTGGATGTCCAGTTTTACCAGCACCATTTATTGAAAACACTGTCCTTTCCCATTGAATGTTCTTGTCACCTTTGTTGAAAATCATTTAATCATATATGCAAATATTTATTTCTGGGCTCTCTAATCTGTTCCATTTGTCTATATATCTGTCTTTATGTCAGGGCCATACTATGGGAGTTTTAATTACTGTAGCTTTGCAGGTAATGCGAGTCCTCTAACTTTGTTTTGTTTTGTTTTGTCTTGTTTCGAGATTGTTTTTGCTACAGGGGACACTTGAGGATCAGCTTTTCCATCTTTGAAAAAAAAAGGCTGCTGATATTTTGATAGAAATTATGTTGAATCTCTAGATGACTTTGGGTCGCACTGACATCTTGACGTGGTTAATTCTTCCTATCCATGGACTTGCAATGTCTTTCCATTTGTTAGCTCATCTCTAATTTCTTTCAGCAATGTTGGGTAGTTTTCAGCATACAAGTCTTTCACTTCCTTGATTAGATTTAGTCCTAAGTAACTCTTCTAGATAGTATTATAAATGGAATTATTTTCTTAATTTCACTTTTAAATTATTCATTGCTGGTGTATAGAAACACTTGTACTCTGCAACTTCGCTATGTTTATTCATTAGTTCTAGTAACTTTTTGGTGGATTCATTGGCATTTTCTATATATAGGATCATGTCACTATGAATAGAGATTGTTTTACCACTTCCTTTCCAATTTCAATGTCTTTTATTTCCTTTGTTATCTCTAACATCTCTGACTAGAACTTCCAGCACAATGTGGAGTAGAAGTAGCAAAAGCATACATCCTTGTCCTATTCCTGACCTTAGGGAGAAAGTTTTCAGTCTTTCACCATTGTGAATGATGTTAACTGGGTTTTCCATAAATACTGTTTATCATGTTGAAGAATATTCTAATTGTCATTTTCTGAGAGCTTTTATCATGAAATAGTGTTGGATTTTTTGAAATACCTTTCCTGTGTCAATCAAGATAAGCTTTTTTCCCCCCATTGTTCTGTTAAGGTGATGTACTCCATCAATTTTCTCATGTGGAGCCACCTTTGCATTCCTGGGATCAATGTCACTTATTCATGGTGAGTAACCCTTCTAATTTGCTGTTGGATTCTATTTGCTAAAATTTTGTTGAAATTGTTTGCATCTTTGGATATTCATGAGGGATATTGGCCTGTAGTTTTCTTGTGATGTCTTTCTCTGGCTTTGGGGTCAGAGTAATGCTGACCTCATAGAATGAGTTAGAAAGTATTCCCTCCTCTTCAATTTTTTGGAAGAATTTGAGGAGGCACATCTACTCTTGCAACCTCTAAATGTGGGCACATTCCCCATGTCAATCGTGGCCCCTCTTCCCTTCTGTCTGCACATTCAGTCCCTCGTCTCTAAACACACCCATGTGTGGGCATTTCCAGCTCTGTTTCCAGCCTGACCTCTGCTCTCAGCCCAACACATCTAACAGATGTCTCAATGTCAACATACCTTCTCCTCCCTGGCCTGCTTCTTCCCGAGTCTCTCCCACTTCAGTAAAGGGGGCCAACCTCCTCACCTGCTGATCAGGCCCCAAATCCTTGAATTGCTGTTTTGGTGCTGATTCTCAACTGCAGACACCAGAATCTACTGTCGCTAGTTTAAGCAGTAAGGGATGTATTAAAAGATATTAGGTAGATTATAGCTTCTGTGTGAAGGTCAGGTAAACAGGAACATCCAGGAATGTTAGAAAAACACCCAACCGTACTGGAGAATTGTTTTAGGGAACCTCCCCACAACCCTATTTCCTTCTGCTCAGCACTGCAGCTGCCAGGGATGAAACCCAAACTGCCCAAATGAACCAACACCTCCACCGCCAATCTGCTATAAGAGTCGCTATTTCCTGTGGCTCCTTCCACATTTTATGTGGTGCATGTATTAGCAAAACCAGGTACATCGGCTCTCAGATGCAAGGGATCTGAGGCACATAGTTTTGCAGTCTCCAGCTTCTACATGGCGGGAGAGTATGCTGTTGGGGGCTGGCACAGGCCACTGTCCTCCTCGGCTGTTCTTTCCCTGATTCTCCAGGGATCCAGCTATCAGCTGGTTCTCTCAGATTTCTGACTTCACTGTGGCCGCTTCTTATAACCTCTGTCACTCCCACCTCAACCCAGCCCATCATTCTCACTGACACTGTGGCAGTTGCTTCCTGACGGGTCGCCCTGCCTCAACCAGCTGTGGTCTCCACACTGCAGCCAGGGTGACATGTTTGGAATGTAAATCAGCTAATGTCACTTCCTTCCCAAACTCTCTCCACAGTGGTTTCTCATGACACTCAGAATAAAACAAAGCTCATCGCCATGACCTACTTATCCCTGCTGCATTTCCAATTTTGGTTGCTTTGCGTCTGCCCTCCTTCACCATGCTCCCAGGTACAAAGCCTTCCTCAAGCACACCAGAACCATTCCCACCCCAGGGCTTTTGCACACATGGAAGTAACAAGCAGGTCCCTTCCACACTCTCTTCTGGTCCCTGTATAGTCTTCTCTGCCAGCACCACCCGCTTTATTGTGTTTTGTTTTTTGGGGGTTTTTTTGCTTTTTTCTCTGTTCACTGGTTTATTGTTTGTCTCCCTCCATTGGAATGTCAGGCCCCCAGGACCCTGACTGGGCCATGCAGTGACTGGCCAAAAGTTGGTGATTCATAAGTACTTTTGGAATAAATCAAGCCATCTTAGGAGTCTAAATTTTGGGGAAAACTTCTTAGAAAACACTCCTGACTCTATGGATACACAGCAAAGAAGGACCCAGATCCTTAAAAACTGCGGCTGTTCCTGTGCAGGCTCTGCTTTCCCTCTGCACAAAGGATGTGGCAAGTGGGCTTCCTCTGTAGGCCCCAAAATCTCCAGTAAGAGTGAGATTTCAGGGCTGCACCCTGACCTGGCATCAGGTCAACAACTGTTGCCCTCCCCTGAGGTCAGCTTCTGGATCCTGGAGGAGCTGACCAGGGACAAAGTCGCCTGCTCTGGAGGCGTGCCAACATTCCCAAGTTCTCTCCTGGCAGGTGTTTTGGGACCGCACAGGTTTATAAAGAATGGTTCCTATTCCTGGAGCATCAAGGGCAGGACTCCCACAGGGAGAGTAGCTGAGAAGAGGAAAAGGCAGAGATGGTTGGAGGCTTCAGGGACCAAGAACACCCAGGTCCCCAAGTACTGAGACAGGGCTGGAGGTTCCAGGAAGCATAGCGGATGAGTGAGGCAGGGGACAATCAGAAGAATTCAAAAAAGCCAGTGAGATGGGTGAAGGACGGCAACCCATCCCTGCCTCCCTCAACTTTATTCATTCTGTAATCTGTGGCCAGGAGCCTTCCTGTTCCAAAGCTGCTTATTTCTCTGTACAATTGAACTTTATCCCTAAATGAGCACATTTGTCCGGCACTGGGTGGGATGAACCAGTGCCCATGTTTCTAGCCAAGACAGTGCTGGGTGAGAGACCTAAGGATGGGCAGGTTCTTCTGTGAGATGCCCCCCACCCCCACCCCCACCCCACGGAGGCTCTCCTGGCACCCCGTCAGCCAATGTGCTCCCTCGGAGGGGAAGTGAAAGCTAGTCCGTCCACACTAGTGTAAGTCAGGTACAAGTCTGTTTACACTGGGGGAAACCAACGTCTGATGGTCTTCCGAGCAAAAATCAGGGTCTGGTCTGTCTACACTGGCGGAAATCGGACGCAGCGCCCCAGCCACTGGTCTGAGAGCACAACCCCAGGTCCCGAGGCTTTGCGAGAACAAAAGTAAAAGCAAACGCCCCGCCACCACCCCCGCTTGCTTCGGAGGGAGGAGCCCTGCGCCCCCGCCCCCTTTGCCGCCCAGGTGAGGGCACCTGCGCGCTGCGTGCGCCTGCGCGAGGTGAGAGCGGCGCCCCCTCCCCGCAGCCCTCCCAGCCCCTCCGCCCCCCGCCGAGTAGAGGGGTCTGCCCTCGGGGAGAGGGTCTGCGGGGGGGAGGGTGTCCGTCCGGCGGGGAAGGGGAGCCCTCCGCGGAGGGAGGAGTCCGCCGGGGGAGGGAGCTCGCCCCGCGGGGAGGGGTCGGCAGGGGGAGGGGTTTGCCCCCCGCGGAGGGAGGGGTCCGCCGGAGGAGGGAGCTCGCCCCGCGGGGAGGGGTCGGCAGGGGGAAGGGTCTGCCCCCGCGGAGGGAGGGGTCCGCCGGGGGAGGGAGCTCGCTCCGCGGGGGGGGGGGGGTCGGCAGGGGGAGGGGTTTGCCCCCCGCGGAGGGAGGGGTCCGCCGGGGGAGGGAGCTCGCCCCGCGGGGAGGGGTCGGCAGGGGTAAGGGTCTGCCCCCGCGGAGGAGGGGCGCTTTCCGGGGCGGGGAGGGTCCGGCTCGCGTCTCGGGCTCCGGCGGGGCGCGGCGCCGGGACAGTGGCGCGCCGGACAGTGGCCCTCACGGGGACGTTTTCCTTCGAGGCCGGTCACAGGCGGCGCCACCATGGCTCTCAGCGCGGCCGACGGAGGCTCCGGCACCGAGGTAGGGTCCGGCGGCGGGGGGCCGGGGAGGGGCGCCTGCAGCCGCCGCTGCAGGACTTCCAGGCGCTCAGAGGCCAGTCCCGCAAACTTTGGCCTTAGCTTCCTGAACATTCATGAGACCTGCGGCTTCCAGACAGACCTGCGTGGCGGGGTCTGACGGGGGGTCGGGGAGGGGGTGCGGGGCTGGAAGCACCTGCTCCATCCTCTTGCGACTCGTGAGCTGGGAACCGGGAGGGCGAACCAAAGACAAAGGGCTTGTGCCCCAAACGGACCAAGACCGACGTGCACGCTGGAGCTCGGTTGATTTCAGTAACGACCGCAGCCCAGGAAACGAGGCGGTCCTTTGGGGTTTGGAAGAGTGGCATAGACGCGGCTTCGTATTTCTTCGTGCGACATGCGGCAGTGCGTTGGGTTTGTCCCCCCTTTCTCCTGGGAAGCTGGGTTACAGACTGCTTGGCGTAGTAATTACGCTCTACTCCTGTTAGCAACAGCACTTTTCCTTAAAAAGTTTAGTTGGTACTTTCAGGGGTCTAATTAAAAACGGAAACATACAATTAAAAAATTAAGTTAAACGTAGGTGAAACTGCATAACTGACAGCTTACGAATCTGCTGCTTACACTAGCTGAGCTTTAGGCAGGGCTGTGGGCGCTCAGAGGAGGATTGGCTTCTCAGCTTCACGTAGAGATGTCACAAGTGGCGGTAGTGACGCTGGGCTTCCCATTTCCCTGAGCCTGCCTCAGAGTCACAGGACTTCTGGGTGAGGAGGATCTGGAGATGCCACTCTCTGCTCTTAGTAAAAATACACTCAGGTTCTGAGATACTTAACAGCCACACGTTTCCATTCCCGGTGGAATCAGACCTGGACTGGCTGTGCTGGGCATCTGAGACCGAGGTCCTAAACCCACTTCTGATTCTGAGGCAGCGCCACATTTTGGTCTCACTGTGCTTTGGGGGACAGGTGGGTGGTCCCGGGGGGCCTCGGGAGGACAGCCCTGAGTTTCCCAGTGGGCTGGTGGGCCTGGGTGCCAGCTAACCTGTGATTAGGAGGACAGACCTCATCGTTTTATCCCAGTCCTGCGGGCCTGGTCTGAAATGGCCTCTGTGAATCGTGGGCCTTTGTGTCTGTGGCATCCTTGCGTGGTCTCCCATGAATACTGTATTACTTGTGGAGCATCCCCAAAATGCCAGGCTAAGGAAATAAAGTTGGCCCTGAATTTGCCCTGAGGCTCTCTGAGATGTGTGTTCACTGGTTGTATCATCCAGCAAACACAGGAAATCCAGATCTCAGAATCCCAGATCTCAGCGTTTTTGGTGAGAATAATTCAAGCCCAGTTCACACGCCACCACCTCCCTCCTTCCAAACAGAGCTAATGTGTCCTGTCTCTGTGTTGGAACGAAAATAAAAATCACTCAGAACCTGCTAGTTACCCATTCTGCAGCCAAGAGGCAGCCCTGAAGCAGTGAGCCCCTGCTCAGGATTTACCCCCCTGCCCCGTCGTCAGCTCTGGGCTTCTTCCTCTCCTCTATCCCTCCACCCCTGTCAGGGCCTGCCACTCAGCAGGTGTGCACAGACAGGTGCTCACTGATCCAGCAGATAAGAATGAGCCCAGGGGATGGTTGGTCTGACCTAAGAGCCCAGCACACTTCTGAGGGGGTGGGGAATGAAGAGAAAGAGGCTTGGGTGAGGGAGGTTGGGGGGGGGACAGAGGGGTGGGCTGAGAGGTGGCAAATCCTGTCCTGCACATGTGGATCCTGGGGCACCTTGAGAATCTGTGGTCTTGTGAGCAGAAGGCATCCTGCCATTGCCATCTACCCTGCCAGGGGCCAAGGAGGGCAGGTGCCTGTGGTGTGGGGAAGAGGCTCTGGGCCCTGACCTGCTGCGTGGAGAACAGACCTGGGATGTTGGAGATTTGATGAGCACCCATCCACCCTCTATTAGCTGTTGCCCTTTGGCTTTGTAGTTCAGCCTCTCTGCTCATTAACAGGAATAATGCATGGCCCACCTACCTCAGAGCACCGTATGGGTTCACTTTAAAGACTGATGTGAAGATGCTTCCTGAAAGGTAACTCAGGTCATCATTCAGTTCAAGGCTCCTACGTTGAAGGCTTCTTCTGTCCTGAGAGCTGGAATACCTTTCCAGGTGTTTCTAGGCACCTCAGTTCACACCTGGGCCCAAGTTCTCAGCTCTCAGATACCGTCTGACCTTACAAAATTTTCCCCAGCATTGAGAAAATCAGATTGTGCATAAGCTACTTTGTGGTAAATTTCTTTTACGTGACTTTAAAACATCTTACATTTCTAAGGCCTGAGACAGGGATTAAATCTAATACCTACAGCAGTGTGGGACATGAATTAAGTTTAAGTTCTGAAGTAGAGTTGTTCAGGTCAGCAAGGTAGCAAGTATGTGCACTTCCTCCAAAGAAACATCCCCTGTCTGCGGCTCCCAGACCCAGAGACCCCCCACCCTGGTAGGCGTCACCCTCAGAAAGCTCCCCTGGTCATCCCTCCTATACCCCCTCCACAGCCACACACCCCCAGCCCCTTTCCTGCTTGGCTTTGCCATAGGAGGGCCTCCATGGCAGAGTCTGAGCTAACATCATCTTGTGCCTGATCTTTGTTGACTGCCTGTCTCCCCAGGCAGCGCCGGCTTTGCTTTATTTCCCTGTTTTCCCATGCATCATAATGCATGGCATAAAGTAGGCGCTCAACAAATATTTGTCACATGGTGGTCACCCTCCCCTTCTTATAAAACCCATTTTTATTCCCCTGCCCAGCCCCAACCTTCTGTGGGCCACACAGATGCAGTACCTGCCCTGTGGGATGCCTGTCTACGGCTTCCCACCTGACCCAAGTTAACAGCACTGCCTGTGACTTTCAAGAATAAAATCAACATCCTCAGAAGGGAGCACCTGGATTACAGCTGAGTCTGGGAAACCTTGTTTGTCTCAGTGTGCAATATTCCAAGCAGGTCCAAGACAGCTATAAAGGCTTGATAAGACCCCGTGTGAGGTAATGAATGTGCTGTGTGTGTGTGTTTTGGGGTGGACAATGGTGCGCAGAGCAGGAGAGAAGAAATGCCTGAATTAATTTTAAATGAATGGAAAGGACAGTCAGAAGAAGGGTGACCCATCCCTTTACTGTCAAGTAGAGGAATCGTGGTTTGGTAGACAGCTTTGACCCAGGCCATGCACGGCTGCAGACCATAAGGTGCGTTCAGCTGCAGAATGAAAAGATCTCTTCAGCTCTGTCCCTTGCTAGGATGAGACCTAGGGCAGTGTGGCACCGTGTGGTTGGGGATGCCTGCTGTGCAGGCAAAGTTCTAACCCTGGTTTCCCCACTGAGTGACTGGGCAGACAAGCCCGTCAACCTTACCATCTTTAGAATAGGGATGATAATAGCATTATAATGTGCTTAAACAGTGTCTGGTAGGGGCACATGGATGGCTCAGTTGGTTAAGCGTCTGTCTTCGGCCCAGGTCATGATCCCAGGATTCTGGAATCGAGTCGCACATCGGGCTCCCTGCTCAGCGGGCAGTCTGCTTCTCCCTCCGCCTCTGCCCCTCGCCCCACCCCCGCTCATGCACTTGCTCACTCTCAAGTAAATGAAGTCTTTAAAAAAAAAAAAAAAACAGCATCTGGTATATAGGAAGTGATCAATAAATGTTAACTATTATTCTGTGATTCTATGACAGAGAGAGAGAGTTTCCTACAAGTAAGAGATAAAAAGAATTGAGTTTTAATTTTTTTGAAATCATTTAAGGAAAAATATCCAATGAAGTTATCTTCAAGGTACTTTGGCACTCAACAGATATCACCAGGAAGAGGAATTACAATTATAATTATGTATTATTTTAACAGTATAATTGTGTATTTTTTTGAAGAAATGTTTTGTGGAAGTGCCAAGTCAATAGGCCATGAACTCAACTTGAGTTCAAGGGTCCCATAGCTTTCCTTATGGGTTACTCAGAAAAACTACAGAAAGCGTCATTGGGGTTCAGTCACCTAGAGCACCACACTGGGTAATAGAGTGAGCATTTAGTTCTCAAACTGATATTCGTGTGTCCAGAGACTGTGATCTTCTGAGACCCCGGCCCAGAGGATCTTGGTGACCAGTGATGTGGGCAGAATACAACCTCTCCCCAAAGCACAATGTTTAAGTAAGTGTTGGTAGGGTAGGGCAACAGCAATGAACAAGGAAAACAGATACTAGCACAGTTTCCGAAACGTTCTGGAACTTTTTTTTTTTAAGAGTTATTCTTTTTTTGAGAGAGAGAGAGAGAGAAAGAGTGTAAGAGCTCCAGCAGAGGGAGGGACAGAGGGAGAGAATCTCCAGCAGACTCTCCCTGGGGCATGGAGCTCCATGCGGGGCTCGGCTCCATCCCACGACCCCAAGAACGTGACCTAAGCCGAAAAGGAGAGTTGGACGCTCAACCAACTGAGCCACCCAGGCGCCCCGGAACTAATTTTTTTAAATAATATTTTGAGGTGAAATTCACATACAATAAACCGTTTCAGAGCAAACAATTCCGTGCCATTTAGTACAATTCCCAGTGTTGTGCAACCACCACCTCTGCCTAGTTCCAGAACCTCTCTGTACCCCAAAGTAAAATCCCCCACCCATGTAACAGTTTCTTCCCATTCCACCCCCTCCCAGCCCCTGGAACCACTAGTCTGCTGTCTTTATGGATTTGTGTACTCTGATTATTCCATGTAAGTGGAACCATACAGTGTGTCACTTTTTTATTGTGCTGAAATGAATACAACATACAGTTTATATGTTCAAACCATCCATCCTTACAGCCTGTGACTCTGAAACACTGTCACTATTAAACAGTGACTCCTACTCTCCCCCCAGCCCCTGACTGCCAACATTTTACGTCCTGTCCTCATGGTTGTGACTACGCTAAGGACCTCATATAGTTAGAATCATACAGTATTTGTCTTTTTGTGATTGGTTTATTTAACTTACCATAAAGTCCTCAAGATTTTATCCATGTTGT